ATTCCTGAGGCTTTTAAAAACTCCCAGCCTTGTTCATTACTCAAAACCGCAATCATGGGTAAGACTGCCGACCTGACTGCTGTCCAGAAGGCCATCATTGACACCCTCAAGCAAGAGGGTAAGACACAGAAAGAAATTGCTGAACGAATAGGCTGTTCCCAGAGTGCTGTATCAAGGCACCTCAGTGGGAAGTCTGTGGGAAGGGAAAAGTGTGGCAGAAAACGCTGCACAACGAGAAGAGGTGACCGGACCCTGAGGAGGATTGTGGAGAAGGGCCGATTCCAGACCTTGGGGGACCTGCGGAATCAGTGGACTGAGTCTGGAGTAGAAACATCCAGAGCCACCGTGCACAGGCGTGTGCAGGAAATGGGCTACAGGTGCCACATTCCCCAGGTCAAGCCACTTTTGAACAAGAGACTGCGTCAGAATCATCTCGCCTGAGACTGCTGCTGAGTGGTCCAAAGTTATGTTCTCTGATTACAGTAAATTTAGCATTTCCTTTGAAAATCAAGGTCCCAGAGTCTGGAGGAAGAGAGGAGACACAGAATTCACATTGCTTGAGGTCCAGTGTCAAGTTTCCACTGTCACTGGGGTGTCATGTCATCTGCTGGTGTTAGTCCACTGTGTTTTATCAAGCGCAGGGTCAATGCAGCTAGCTATCAGGAGATTTTGGAGCACTTCATGCTTCCATCTGCTGAAAAGCTTTATTGAGATGAATATTTCATTTTTCAGCACCACCTGGCACCTGCTCACAGTGCCAAAACCACTGGTAAATGGTTTACTGACAATGGTATTACTGTGCTCAATTGGCCTGCCAACTCTCCTGACCTGAACCCTATAGAGAACCTGTGGGATATTGTGAAGAGAAAGTTGAGAGACGCAAGACTCAACACTCTGGATGAGCATAAGGCCGCTATCGAAGCATCCTGGGCCTCCACAACACCTCAGCAGTGCCACAGGCTGATTGCCTCCATGCCACACTGCATTGAAGCAGTCATTCATGCAAAAGGATTCCCGACCAAGAATTGAGTGCATAACTGAACATGATTATTTTGAAGGTTGGCGTTTTTTGTATTAAAAACACTTGTCTTTCATTGGTTGGATGAAATTTGCTAATTTTTTGGGACAGGCATTTTGGGTTTTCATGAGCTGTATGCCATAATCATCAGTATTAAAACAATTAAAGACCTGAAATATTTCAGTTGGTGTGCAATGAATCTGAAAGATATGAAAGTTAAATTTTTATCATTACATTATGGAAAATAATGAGCTTTATCACAAAATGCTAATTTTTTGAGAAGGACCTGTATAATTAGTGTGGTTGAGGCCATTTTACATTTATTATACACCTCTCACCAAGCCTTCCTCTACAACAGTATATATATATATATATATATATATATATATATATATATATATATATATATATATATATATATATATATATGTGTGTGTGTATGTGCCTATTTTGGAGTAATAACCTCACAGAATTATCCACTCACCTCTCCCACATGAGGAGCTCACTGTTTGGAGGAGAAGGAGGTGAAAACCTTTTCCTACAGTCAGGATGGTAAGAAAGTTAAAACAGCACCACTACAGCATGGTGAAGTTCATTAGAGCTTAGAGAAACCAGTTCTTTACAGACTTCATATAAAAGGACAGTTTCACCATCAATGTCTTCTCCCCAGTACCTTATTAAGGCTGGTGTCTGTCCTTTCCTCTGATGGACCCTTGGACATCGATCTCTTTGTCTGATCACCGGGCACTTCTTTGGGCTTCTCCGTCTCCCAGGAAGATGCAGGCTTGGGTCTGAGATCATACCCTGGCCTGTGTGTTATAGCAGTCACAGCTCATTTGGGTATTAGAGAGGTCAGGAAATCACCTTTTATATATCCAAATAATTTAGTGACATAAAAACAAAACAATCATTCTTTTCATCAGTCCAGTAGTGATGTCATAACAAGAGAAAAGGAGAGCGCCCAATGGTTTAGTGGACCTAACAGATGTTGATGCTCCTGCATGTTAAATCTAAAGAACAATACTCAACTGACTGTTTCATCAGGTCCACCTGTTCAACTCTTCATTAACACATAAAGCTAATCAGTTATTTGACATGCATGTAAAGATAACTTGCTGAAGTTCTAACCAAGCCTCAGAACCAGGAAGAATGGGGATTTAAGTGACTTTGAATATGGTGTGATTGTTGGTGCAAGACCATCAGGTTTCAGGAACTTCTGATCTACTGAAATTTTTACCCACAATTGTGTCCAAAAATGAGAAAATATCCAGTTGGTGACACTTGTGTGGACAAGAACACCTTGCTGATGTCAGAGGAGAGTGGGCAGACAGGTTTAAGATGAGAGAAAGGCAACAATAGCTAAATAAATTATTTGTTCCAACAAAGATCTTCAGAACACCATCTCTGAACATGTCCAACCCTTCAGCAGATGGACTTCAGTAGGTGAAAACCACATCGGGTGCCATTCCTGACAGCTGAGAACAGGAAGCTAAAGTTACAGTTCACACAGCCTCACCAACACTTGACAAACATCTCCTGGTTTGATGAGTCTGGATTCACTGAACTCCAACGGTCTCCAAGGTCACCAGACCTCAGTCCGATCCAGCACCACTGAGATGCGGTGAAGCAGGAGATTAACACCAGAAGTATCTGCAGCAGCTGTGTGATGCTGACATATGAACCAGAATCCCTGAGGAATGTTCCAGAACCTTGATGACACTTTGACACAAAAACTGGAGGTAGTTCTGAAGACAAAGGGGGTCCAACTTGGTCCTAACAAGGTGGGCCTCAGAAAGGGGCCACTGAGCGTATTTTACACAGTTTCCCAAGATTATATTTTCTGTTCCTTCTGTCTATTATTATATTTAGATGTTCAAAACTAAATGTGTTGTAAAGTGAAAAATCTTTGGTTTGGTTAATATAGATTTTTTTAAAGTTTAGTTTGTGAGGTTCTGAACTTACAGCATGCCCCCATTGTTGACGGAATTGGATCTGGCCATGGGCTGAGGTGATCTGGACTTTGGCTGGTGCTGAAGGAGGCTGGGTGAGCCCTGCATGTGGGTCAGAGGCAGCAATGGCTTAAACAAAGCCCCGACCTTGCACTGTGGAGGAGACACGGATGGCAACATGCTCAACACATTCAAAGGCAGCAGGCAGAATATTGGTGGACCCAGATCTAACAGTGGCATACTTGGTTCTGGCCACATGTGGACACTGGGGGCAGAATATTCTCTTCTGGCAGTCAGTCATGCTTTTGAGGCATTCTGTGTGTTTGTGAGTGTCTTTCTACGTGTAAATAAGCATGCACCTAAGTGAGGGTGAAATGTTGCGAATGACCACCTGTCAGCACAGGATGGGTGTTGGTATTTCAGAAGGTAAATAACCATTGGTTACGTGACATTTAGACCATTAAATTGGTCAGTGGTGCTTAACAGTGCTTGTATTTCATCAGCCTGTGAACACAAACACCATCTGTGCTCGTCTGAAGTCATGCAGGTTTTCAGTGTGTCTCTTTGTAAATGCAATATACTGTATACCTGATAGCACCAACATGCAGGTTCTATTGAAGCACCCAGTGCGTGTGTGCAGGTGGTGTGGATGTTGTACCTGAGGGCCTGATGTGTTCTGCTGCTGCAACCTTCTGGCTCGATTTTGTTTGTAGTAGTCAAAGATCATCAGAGCTGCGTAAACCTTTCCAACAGTCAGCTCGTTGGCTGACGGGTCAAAGGGACAAAGGAAGAAGGAGAGAGATGACTGCATGAACAAGGAAAAGAAAGAAGAATAACCCTCATCTGACTAACTTTAAAGAAAAGAATTTGATTCACTGTAATATTTTGTTATTGCATATTAACTGCAAAAGAGGAAGGTGGGCAATAATGTTTTTGCCCATGTCTGAGTGTGTGCACATGTTTGTAAGCAAAATATTACATGAAAAACAAGATGGATGTTTTTGAATCACTGAATGTAAATCTCTGAATGACTTTTGGAGATGAGTCAAGATGGCTGCCACAGAAATGCAAAGATGCTAATACCTCACCCCGTTTTCCAAACACTGACAGGTGGTAGTAGCTGAGGCTGATCTCCAACACATATCCAGAGCTATTAATTATTCTGGGTCAACTCTGTTGATCTGTTAGCAAAATATCTCATGAACCACTGAACAGACTTAAGATGAAACTTTCAGGAACTAAGCATTGGCTGCAATTCAACAACAGAAAATACTTTCAAGCCAACCTAATTCAAGATGGTCACCACAGCCAGCTGACTTTAGAAAACACAAAATGTCTCAGTTATAGAAAACTGTACACATATTGTAGTACAATGCGATGTGGTGGTAGCTGAGATTTGGACACAACACATCCTCAAAGCTCTGCTTATCTTTTGTCATCAACAACAGCAGAGACAACATGAAGATTACAGATGTTGAAGATTACAGATGTTGGCACCACGTGTAAATCTGCAGCATGTCCAAACTAAAAGGGACAAGTTGTAAAGATTCACTGCTGAATTTATGACAACTGAAGATAAGCACTGACAAATTAGCACATCATAAACTAGTGATTTTGAATATTTGGTCTTGAAACCACTCTAAGCTTAGCAAAATGTCATAAAATATCTGAAAACATTACATCAGGTTGTGTAAAAAGTTACGGTGCCTTGCGAAAGTACCGGTCCTTCTCAAAAAATTAGCATATTGTGATAAAGGTCATTATTTTCCATAATGTAATGATAAAAATAAAACTTTCATATATTTCAGATTCATTGCACACCAACTGAAATATTTCAGGTCTTTAATTCTTTTAATACTGATGATTATGGCATACAGCTCATGAAAACCCAAAATGCCTGTCCCAAAAAATTAGCATATTTCATCCCACAAATGAAAGACAAGTGTTTTTAATACATAAAACGCCAACCTTCAAATAATCATGTTCAGTTATGCACTCAATACTTGGTTGGGAATCCTTTTGCATGAATGACTGCTTCAATGCGGCGTGGCATGGAGGCAATCAGCCTGTGGCACTGCTGAGGTGTTATGGAGGCCCAGGATGCATCAATAGCGGCCTTAAGCTCATCCAGAGTGTTGGGTCTTGCGTCTCTCAACTTTCTCTTCACAATATCCCACAGGTTCTCTATGGGGTTCAGGTCAGGAGAGTTGGCAGGCCAATTGAGCACAGTAATACCATGGTCAGTAAACCATTTACCAGTGGTTTTGGCACTGTGAGCAGGTGCCAGGTGGTGCTGAAAAATTAAATCTTCATCTCCATAAAGCTTTTCAGCAGATGGAAGCATGAAGTGCTCCAAAATCTCCTCATAGCTAGCTGCATTGACCCTGCCCTTGCTAAAACACAGTGGACTAACACCAGCAGCTGACATGGCACCCCAGACCATCGCTGACTGTGGGTGCTTCACACTGTACTTCTGGCATTTTGGCATTTCCTTCTCCCCAGTCTTCCTCCAGACTCTGGCACCTTGATTTCCGAATGACATGCAAAATTTGCTTTCATCCGAAAAAAGTACTTTGGACCACTGAGCAACAGTCCAGTGCTGCTTCTCTGTAGCCCAGGTCGGGTGCTTCTGCCGCTGTTTCTGGTTCAAAAGTGGCTTGATCTGGGGAATGTGGCACCTGTAGCCCATTTCCTGCACACGCCTGTGCACGGTGGCTCTGGATGTTTCTACTCCAGACTCAGTCCACTGATTCCGCAGGTCCTCCAAGGTCTGGAATCGGCCCTTCTCCACAATCTTCCTCAGGGTCCGGTCACCTCTTCTCATTGTGCAGCATTTCTGCCACACTTTTCCCTTCCCACAGACTTCCCACTGAGGTGCCTTGATACAGCACTCTGGGAACAGCCTATTCGTTCAGCAATTTCTTTCTGTGTCTTACCCTCTTGCTTGAGGGTGTCAATGATGGCCTTCTGGACAGCAGTCAGGTCGGCAGTCTTACCCATGATTGCGGTTTTGAGTAATGAACAAGACTGGGAGTTTTTAAAAGCCTCAGGAATCTTTTGCAGGTGTTTAGAGTTACGTCGTTTATTCAGATGGTTAGGTTAGTAGCTTGTTTAGAGAACCTTTTCATGATATGCTAATTTTTTGGGACAGGCATTTTGGGTTTTCATGAGCTGTATGCCATATTCGCTGGTCCGTCCGCTCGGTGGACCCAAGACGAGGGTTGATCACCAGGAATCGCAGGATTCTTCCTCTAAACATCTGCTAGTCTTTAAGAGTGAGGGGGCGTTCTGGTTTTCTATCGGTAGGATTTGACCTCGACAGAATTCAAACCAGACTGAGACAACAAAAAACAACTACTTAAGGTAAACTGAAAAACTTTTTAATAGAACAAAAGTATCCTGATGCATGCTCAATAATCCAGGTAGAAAAATCTAAAAAAGTTAAATCTGGTCCTCTGGACATTCAAAAAAAAAAACAAAGCAAATCAACAAAAAAATGTAGAAACGTTTCGTCTCTCATCCGAGAGACTTCCTCAGTCTGAGGAGCTGTATTCAGCTCAGTCTCTTAAATAGCACTGTCTCAGAACAAAAGTAGGTTTTAAAAATAAAACCGAGGTAGCTTTTGTATAAAATCGAGGTAGGTCCTGATAAGGGACTGAGAAATAAATAGAACAAAAGTAGGTTTTGAAAATAAAACCGAGGTAGATTTAGTATAAAATCGAGGTAGGTTCCTGATAAGGGACTGAGAAATAAGTAGAACAAAAGTAGATTTTAAAAATAAAACCAAGGTAGATTTAGTATAAAATCGAGGTAGGTTCCTGATAAGGAATTGAGAAATAAATAGTGGATAATTAAACAAGGAAGCACCAGGAAAATTAAACAAAAATTGGTGCAAGGAAAAGCAAAGTAGAGGATTATATTCCTTGCGGTCCAAAGGCGGACCATATGCGTATATTACACGGAGATTTGTGTCTCAGTTTTATTTCACAGTGGCATTCTAAATTTAATTTTCCAAGAAATGGTTCTTTTGACCCCGAATAAATTCAAAAATTAGAAGAACAGTTGTTAAAACAAAAACAAAAAAATGTGTAATATGAAGAAAATACCACAGGACATGTTTTTTGCAATGTACAATCATGAGCAAGCGTTTAAATTATGGAAAAACCAGTCCAATTCCCTAATACAAAAAAACAGCATCTAAAATGTACCAAATGACTCAAAAAAGTTGGAAAGGCAACCAAAATTGGCTCTAAAAAATGAGAAAATGACAAATTCACAAAAATATTAGCAGAAAATAAAAAGAAATCGCTTAAGGACAAATTACACTGAAATTACAAATTACACTACAAAGGACACTGTTCTAGAATTGCGCCGCTCAAGGTGGCTGCATGTTGGAGAAGCTCTGTTACTTTCATTCTGAGATTTTGCTTTTGGAAACTTTAATTCCTCTTTCTGGATGTAAATCACATTTTTTGGATGATCGTTTCCTCTGGTATCAGATGCTGTGCAGCTGGAAGGATTTTTACTGATACTTTTTTTAGTTTTGGACATTTGTTATGATGCGTAACCATGGCAACAAAGCAGTTTTCTACAACCAACAGCAGCTGATTAACAACTCAAAAGCTCAAATAATATCTCCACTACAGCCCCAAATCTCAAATGAGTTGAAAAGGATGTTCTGTGGACGCATTCTCATCTACCAGCCAGCTGCGCTCAAGTGCCTGACCACTGAGATCCTGGAACTAGCAGGAAACATGGGTCATGACAGCGGAAGGACAGGATCGTTCCTCGCCACCTACAGCTGGCTGTCCGCAGTGAAGAGGAGCTCAGCAGACTGCTAGGAGGAGTGGCCATCGCTCTAGGAGGAGTTCTGGTGGGCATTCGGGCGGCCCTGCTACCCAGGAGGACCGAGAGGCCAGCCGGATCTGACAGCAAGCTGGATCTGGGTGGACAGATCAGTATCTGTGGCCAGATTCTTCGTATTCGCTGCAGGAGATCCTTCCTTCCCACAGCAATCAGCATCTAACAACTCTCGAATAAAACCAGGATGATGAGCTACGACAACACTTAATTTCCCTCTGGGATTAATAAAGTATTTTTGAATTGAATTGAATTGAATTAAATGTGTCTTTCTCTTATCTCCATCATATACCGGAGTCCTGTGGACCTCCGTCTCCCGTGGCACCGCTGTACCCCTCTCTGGCTGGTTTCACTGACCCACCATCGTACGCCCCACCTGTAACGGCAAAGAAAAAGGAAAAATCACAAAGACTACCCATTAAAGGTCAAGCTCAGCTGCTCCCACCACCAAAACCCACTTGGGTCCTCGACTCTGATGATGATTTTCAAGGATATGCATCAGCATCTGATTCAGAGGAAGAAGATGATGAAACCCCACCAGTGTCCTCACTGAAGACCCCAGCTGATACTAAAAGTCCTGTTGCTGGAACCAGTACTAAAGTCGTCACAAGACAAATGGGAAAAATTAAGGCCCTTGAAGAAAAGGCTGAAGCTATAAAAAAGGAAATTGACGACATTAAACAGCAAAGCCTAAAGAAAAAAAAACAACGCAGATTATAATTATCTGACCTTCCCCAAGCTGTAGATGGAGTGGACGATCCTGAAGACCTGCTCACCAACCCAATGCTGGAGGTTGGAGGACCGACTGGCCCCCAACTGGTGTACCGTACATGGCCAAAGGCGGCCCTGATCGAGATGGCGAGCCAGCACTTGCCTGACCTGGCACAAGGAGGAGCTGTTGTAGC